GCTTCCGAGCTGCGGTGACTAGTGCATATGCCAGCTTTTCAATCTCTGGATACCTCGTCTCTACGTCTTGCAAAACTTTACTAATGTAGTAGATGGGTCGTTGGACCCGATCTACTTCTTTTATCAGTACCGAGCTGACCACCTCGTCACTCATAGAGAGGTACAACTTTAGAATATCTCCCTCATCGGGTCGGGTTAGAACTGGGATACTGGTCAGATACCTTTTGAGCTCGTCAAAGGTGAGCTGGCATTCTTCGGTCCACTCAAAGTCTTTGCTTCTTTTAATTGCCTTGAAGAAAGGCAGGCAACGATCTGCCGATTTAGACATGAAGCGGCTCAGAGCGGCTATACGGCCGTTCAACCTCTGAACCTCCTTCAATTTGCGGGGGCGGTCTCATATCTAAGATGGCCTTGATTTTGTCAGGATTGGCTTCAATACCTCGTCGATTAACGATGTAACCCAGGAATTTACCCGAGCTGACACCGAAGACGCACTTGTTAGGGTTTAACTTCATATTAAATTTGCGCAAACAGAATGTAAATCTTTTATTAAATCATTTGAAAATTGAGTTTTGACAACCATGTCGTCTACATAACATTCTACTTTTTTGCCGATTAACCGCTCAAACAATCGTTTTACGAGTCTATGAAATGTTGCCCCGGCATTTTTCAGTCCAAAGGGCATGACCCTGTAGCAGTACAAGCCTAGCTCGGTTATGAAGGCCGTTTTTTCCTCATTAGCAGGGTCCATCCTGATTTGGTTGTAGCCCAAATAAGCATCCAAGAAGCTCAGCAACTCGTGCCCTGAGGTCGCATCCACCAAACGGTCGATTTTGGGAAGTGGGAAGCAGTCCTTCGGGCAAGCTCGATTTAGGTCAGTATAGTCGACACACATGCACCACTTAATGTTGGCCTTTTTTACCAGAATGGGGTTAGCCACTCAGCTCGAGTAATGGACCTCCTTGATGAAATCAGTTGCGAGAAGCTTCCCGACTTCATCGTCGACTACTCTCCAACGCTCCAGGGCTAGGTTGCGTTTCTTCTATCTAACGGGTCTAACTACAATATCAGTGTTCAGTTTGTGAGTGATTATTCCAAGGTCTATGTCGGGCATCTCTGCCGCGGACCATGCAAACGCATTTAAATTTTAAAGTAAGAAACTTACCAGCTGAGAACGTAGAGGCTCCTCAATCGACGCACCGATTTGGAGAGTCCTGGCTGGGTCTTCTACTGAAACAGGTATAAGAATCGTCTCTTCTATTGGTGAAGCTCGCTCCTCATGGTACTCCATAGGTCTCTCCAATTCGAGGTCGTCTGCTGCCTTGGCTTTCCCTTTGAGGGCGGCGACATAGCATTTGCGAAACTCGAGTTGGTCGCCTCGCACTACCCCTACTCCGAAGTCTGTGGGGAACTTCATGGCCAGGTAATAGGTGGACACTACTACGCGTAGATCGTGGGTGATTGGCCAGCCTATTATGGCGTTGTACGGGGAGGGAGTTAAGACCACTAAGAAAGTGTGGTCGAATCTCACTATGCTAGGCCAGGTGCCGACCTCCATAGGTACTATAACTCTTCCTAGGGGCCTGACTTCCTTTCTGCTGAACCCTACCAAGGGAATGTTCGTGGGCTTGATGTCGCTCTCCTAGAGCTGCAGCTTGTCAAATGCATCTTTAAAGAGTATGTCCGCCGAGCTGCTTGAGTCGACTAGGACGCACTTCACCTCGGAATCATTAATTCTTATCCTTATGATGAGCGCATCATCATGGGGGTACTGGACTCCGTGCGCATCGTCTTCAGTGAAAAAAATGGGCTCTTCTAGCCATGGCCGCTTCGGAGGATTCTGTTCTTCTCTTTCTTTTTCACGAGTTGATGTCTTCGCCGCGGCTGAAGTGCAACCCGCAGCAATCGATCCACCGGTGATCATATGTATTACTCTGGCCTCTCTTCGGGCAGTTGTCTCTGTGGCTGCTCGTTCTGTCTGTTGTTGGACTCGGGAGCATCTCTACTTTGCTCCCCCTGTTGATCTGTTTGATTTTTATTATCATTTAATACAAAATTTTTCAAATATCCGCGATGGATGAGCTCTTCTATCTCGTCGCGGAGGTTCTTACAATTTTCGGTGCTATGACCGTGATCTCTATGGAAGTGGCAATATACATTTCTATTTCTAGTGTTCAGATCTCCTCTCATCCGAGGTGGCCACTTCACGTTAGAAGCGTCCTTGATCGCCATGAGGATTTCTGCTCACTTCACGTTCAAGGGCGTGTAATTGGTTCTTTCCACTGGAGGAGCTCGGAAAGGTTGATCAGGTTTGCTTCCTCCTCGAGCTGGTTCATCCTTCTTCCTTTTGTTATCCCCGTTAGTTGAGGCCTCACCTTCTATTTTCCTCTTCTCCGGTGGGTTCTCATTCTTCTGGTTCATCTCTTCCTTTGTTCCGATGAACTGGTCAACGAGCTTGAGGAACTCAGTAACGTCTTTAGGTTTGTTGACGACCACGTGCCACTTGAATTCTTTGTGGGTGATACCTCTTTTGACTGTTGTGAGTCTTACGGCAGGGTCTAAATTAGGAATCTGTAAGCATGCATCGTTGAATCTCTTGATGTAGCTCCGGATGGATTCTCCCTCCCTCTGGACTATGTCGAGTMGGCTTTCCTGGAACCTCGGACACCTCTTGCTTGTGATGAAGTGCAAGGTAAAAATTTGCACAAACTACGCCCAACTCTTGATTGTCTCGGGCGCTAGGTTTCTATACCATGTGCGAGCTACCCCTTTAAAGGTGGTGGAGAAAGCTACACACATACAAGGTTCATCCACCCCGACTAGGTGCATCTGTGAATGAAATGAGCCTACGTGGTCATTCGGATCGAATGACCCATCGTACTTGTCCAAGGGAGGTACTTTAAAGTCCATGGGCATTGGAACTGCCAGGAGCTCGGGAGATAGTGGAGATGGTACAGAGAGGAGTGGGGTAGTCTTCGCTGTTCCCGAGCTCGCTTCTTCCTTTTCTTTGGGCTGGTCGAGTTGGCTTTGGGCTGTAGCTCGGCGAGCCTTGCGACGCCGCTTCTATTGCTTCTTCACCGGCTCCGCGTTAGTGCTACTGGCTTCTGTGTTATCAGGCATGGTCCTCGCGGGGAGCTACTCAGAATGTTGGTGGCGGCTACTGCGAACTGAGGGGCCTAGTCTGGAATCCGCGAGCGAGACTTCGAACTGGGAAGGCCGAGGTGAAGCGGGCCTGGTGGACTGGGTGTCTCCTGACCTATTTACTTGCTGCGAGGTGGGAGGAGTAATATGTCTCTCCCTCGTGCCGCGGGACGAGACTTGACTCTCCAGAGGGTTTTGGATTTGGGAGGTCTCTCCCCCACTAGGAGGGCGTTCGCTCTTGCGGCGAGGCTTGGCTTGCTACGTGGCCGGATGCCGAGGTGGAACCGGCTGTTGATTCTGCGGCAGTGGAGGGAACTGCTGTTGATAAACAAGGTGGAGGACTTGCTGCTGGTACAACTGAAACTGTTGGACCTGCTGCATTTGGGATTGCATGGCCCGCATGCAGTGTACCAGGTCACCGAGTTGATTCTGTCCGACCACCAGGGGAATAACAGAGGGCTCTACGAAGGTCATACCCACTGTAGGAGGGAGTGGTGCTTTCACCGGTTCAATGACTTGAGGCACGTTCAGTGTGGGGACCCCCTCTATAGAGAGGGGTACGGTGAATTGTCCAATGCACACGGTTGGGACCTGGAGTTGGCCCCCAAAGACATTCATGTCAGTGCTGCGTTCGGCATTGTTGGAAGATGCCACGGAAGCTGGATATGAAATGCTTTGTGGAAAAGGGCTTTTTGAAACGTTTCCCACAGATGGCGCCAAATGATGGAGTGCAATCTAACTGTCAGCTAGATCGTGTCCACGTGTCCCTCCATTATTAAGTCGGGACAAATCACTCCTCATCAAAATTATTAATTTACACTTGGTTGATTGATTGATTAAATGTATGTAGGAAGGTGACCCAGCTGGAGTACGGCGATCAGTTGGTGAGATTATGCAAGAATTTGATGAAAACTTTGTCTGTAAACCTGTAAACCTGGGACTGGGGGAGGAAAATCTTCAGAATGCATTTGGAAAAGAGGACATCGGTGCGTGCATGAGGGTGAATTACTATCCCAAGTGTCCACAGCCTGATCTCACAATCGATCTTTCCCCCCACTCCGACCCAGGAGGTCTGACTCTTCTGCTTGCCGACGACCGTGTCCCCGGCCTCCAAGTCCTTAGAGGCGGTAATTGGGTTACCGTAAAACCCTTCCCCAATGCCTTCATCGTCAACATCGACTATCAAATTCAGGTCTCTTTCTCTTTCTATTCTATATATGTCATTGGGCACATGTATGTAACGATCCATGCATCAGTTCTGGATGGTTGCTAATGAGTAGTAACTCAACTTTGGTCAAAAGGAAACTCAAAAAGGTTTCTGTTTGGGGACCTTTACGCCTGTTTCCTTATCAACTGCAGTCTCTAACAAGATTAAGAGCGTATTCTTATTAGTTGTAAGTGCATGCATGAAAGCCAAATAACTACAAGCCAACTGCATGTTGATCTAATTAATTAATGATCTGATGAAATTGAAATTGATTTTGATTAATAGGTGCTGAGCAATGCAATATAGAAGAGCGTGGAGCAAAGGATAATTGCCAATGCAGTGCAGGAGCGCCTTTCCCTCGCCTTCTTCTACAACCCCAAAGGCACATGTGTTACATAGCTATTACGTGTTCATTCATTGTGCTTATTTAACGTGCCCTACTACATTCGAATCCAGACAAGGAACTCGTCATATCAGATCGACTCGCCCTCTATCCAGCAATGACCTTCAACGAGTACAAACTTTACATAATGACAAAGGGTCTACGTGGCTTAATGGCGAATAAAATGTAGCTATATATATGCTTAGGCCATAACGCAGGCCTGAGTCAGTCGTACTCATTGTAGTTCATGTTAATAATCTTAATAAACATACAAGGAAAATCGCCTCATAGACCTAAGTGCATGAATGAGCCTTTTTTTTCTTTTATAGTCTTTATACTGTAGTCTTTCTTTCCTTCTACAATAATGACAATAAACATAATTGATCATCTGTGTCTCTAGACTCTATCTCTATCTCTATCTCTATCTCTCTTCTGTGTTTTAATTCAGGGGTGGGGGGTTATTATTTTGTAGCTCATCAATCCTTTTCTCTAACTACGTGCTGTTTTTTCTTTTTCTTTCTTTAATCTTCTTTTGGTTGAAAATTCTTCAATAAAGAAAGCAACCATTATTATTAAGTAAAGCATTTTATTATCATGGAAGCTATTCTTCGTACTCCCCTTTCATTGAATCCAGCTTTCGATGGCTAGGCATGCTTTTTGTGTGGTGGTTAGGATCCGAAAACAATAAATCACTGTTTTCTTCTTGTTTATGCGTGAGGTAGCAAAAGGACGAAGCAAATCAGTCCTTATGATTTGAGGGGGCCCACCCCGCTAGTAATTGGTTACAACAGAATAACTGTTTAGATAAGAGGATAAGAGATGGGTCAGGACTCAGGTGTCAGGTGTGGACAACTCCCCATAAGTTGAGCGTGGGGAGAGACGTAACGCACCTCAATTTGTGACGTTCAAACTCCCCACGCTCAACTTGTGACGCAGCTCTTCAAACCGAGTCCAGCTTGATCACTAAATCATGGACATATTTGCATTTATTACGAAATGCAGTAGAAATGACAATATATATATATATATATATATATATATATATAAAGAAAGGTATATCTGGCTTAATCTGTGTAGACATCAAGACATGTAACTAGGCCCAGGCCCACTGCCTTGCTGGACAGAAATTACCACTCCTATCAAACTGTACGAATTATTTGTGCATTTATCAAAATTATCCTCTAATTGCAATGAAATTTATCTATCACACTTATATTGGATTTAATAACTCCAACTAAAAATGATCAATATATTATATTTTATAATATTATCAATAAAGTGAATTAAAAATGACTTTGATATTGTATATTAGGCTATGTTTATTTATTGTGTAAATATGAATCATATCCAAAGTTTGCATTCAATTAGTTTTGGCTATCGTAAGTTCAAAGTATCGGAAACGCAAGGTGTATCGAACAAACAATTTTAGGAGATGTATCGGGATATGCTTTGGATTCGTATGGATACAGACGAAAAATCAAGATACGCATAAATATAACAGAATATTCAAATTTTATATGATTGTAAATAAGTCATTTAAATGTAAAAAAAAAAAAAAAACATAATTTGATGTTTTATAAAAAGTGACATATCGGGACACAATTAATAACCATTGAAAAATGATAGAATAATTAAAATGTAAAAAAACAAAAACAAAACTAAAATGTCAATGTCAATTTTCAAAAAACCAATATAATTAATCTTAATATTTATTAGTATATAAATTTTAATAATTAATTCTAGCATTTATTAATAAACACTTGTCACTCATTAAGAAAAGTGAAACTTTACTTAAAATTAAAAATACATATAATCATAGTAAACAAATATGTGTGGCTCATTGGCAAACTTGTGGTTGTCAAGAGTAAGTGACTAAGGTTCAAATCTTGTTATAACTAAAATTTAAAGTTTTTATACTAACAAAATGAAATTAATGAGAGGGGATCAATTGCGATTGAAGATTCAAAATCCATTTTCTTTTTAGATTTTATAAAAAGAAAAAGATGAAATAATTCCAATGGATTTAAAACTTATTCTTAGGTAAATCAATTGCAAAATGCTTTTGTAGAATGTCCAATATCTGTTTTACATCTTCTATCTGAAAATGTTCAATCTTCATAAGATCTTCTTGATTGTTATCGTACGAAAAGAAATAGAACAAAGGATTTATACACGTTCCATATATCGGGTTCTTATCGGAATGATACGTATCAGCCGATACGACCCGATATGTTGCAATATTTTGAACCTTGTCCAATCATAATGTGCCATGTCAGCCTCACACAATTAAACTCTTACACGTGCGAAGCAGCTAATGGATCCTGGGAGAACTTTCATTTCTTTGATTTTTATTTTTTAAAATATTAAAAAAACATTAAGAAAAGGGTGAAAAAAAACCATTTCTCCTTCACTAATGGTTGTAAGTGGTGTTTTAGTAATATGCTAACTATAGGGTAGATTTTAGTAAATCTATAAAATTATAAGGGGTATTTTAGTAAATGACCATTTCTATTATTTGGCTTTCGCTTAATAAATGTCGTGCATCGCACAAGTCCTCGCTAGTCTATATATATATATATATATATATATATATTAAAACAAAGCGGTCAAGAAATTTTCTCCTTTTTTTGAGTTTTTTATTTTTTTAATTCCATGCATTTTTCAAACAACCATTGAGATGCACTTTCCCAATAACCTAAATAATCTCTTCTCCTAAAATTTCTCCTAAACTATCTCCCCCACTATCCCTCACTTTCTCCAAAATTATCTCTAATTCCTATTTATCTTCTAAATTATGTCTAATTCATATTTATCTCCAAAATTATCTCTGATTTAGTTGGGAGTTCTCTCCTAAATTAAATAATTGGGTATTTTAAATAACAAAATATTTAACATAACTAGATTTTAAATAGTTAAAATAAAGAAATTATGTAATAAATTTAAAAATTTTTGAAAAGTATAAAAATAATTATAACACAATATTGAAATTAATAATAATTTAATATTTTTAAATAAATTTGTAAATAATTAATTTCACTTATATCAAGTAAAAATTTGAGAAAATAACTTTGAAAAAAAATTAATATTTATTACTCATAGTTGTAAACTCTTAATCTATATTTATTATTAATTATATATACTAAAATTAATATTTATTGTATTTCAGAAATTATTTATTGTTTTTGTGATAAATATATTTTCAAGGATTATGTATAAATTTATTTTGTTTTGTTATTTAATAGAAAAACTTCAATAATTATTGGAGATTAAACTACTACTAGTGAAATTTTTAAATTTAATTTATTGTACTTATTGTATTTTTGTTATAACTTATTGATTAATGTTTATTAGAGATTAAACTATTATTTGAGATTATACTATTTAATGACTAAGTTAATATATTTTTAATACTTATTGTATTTTTTTCATTATCAATAATTGTGTATATTTGCTATAAATTTTCAATAATTATTAGAGATTAAACTATTGTTATTTATCAGAGATGAGACTATTAATTTAGGTGAAATTATGAGTGTTCATGAATTGATTCGGTTCGGTCGTAGGCTATAAAGTAAACCAAATTGACCTGGCTAGGTTGGGGAGTTGGTCAACTAAAACTGATTGACCTTTTGTGAAAACAGACCCATCAAGTTGTATCGATTTGGGTCAATTTTTTTGTTTGGTCAATCGGTTCATCATTTTTCATTATCATCTAATGGAATATTGATTAAATCCATTGCAAATTTTGACTGGTGTTTCAGTAAAATGCTAACTATAAGGTAGATTTTAGTAAATTCATGAAATTATAAGGGGTATTTTAGTATATGATCATTTCTATTATTTAGCTTTTTTTAATAAATCTCATGCATCGCATGAGTCCCCACTAGTATATAAATTAAAATGGAGTGGTCAAGAAATTTTCTCCTTTTTTGAATTTTTTATTTTTTTATTCCACAGTTTTTTGCATTGACAAATCAAATTCCTATATTTTTCATCCATCCTTGGCCACATCAGATGGCTTTCCAAGAGCCCTGTTTTAATCGATCATGTATCTCCCATTTCCACTCCCAATTATTAGGTTTAAAGTGGACTTAGAATCACTCACGATTCTAAGTTGTGATACAATAGTGAGAAAACTCATGCTCGAGAAGAGAGGGGACATATGGCTTTATTCAAAGAAGGCTTCGGTAGAATGAAGAATAGTAAAAACCCATTTTCTTACTATTAGTAAGAAAAATAATAAAAAAAAAAACAAATAAAACACAAATTTTTTGCTGTTAAAAAACCCATTTTCAAATAACCGGGCGAAGAAGATGATAATATACAGTTTGGTGTCAATCCGTTTTCGATAAAACACAACGGGTCAAAACTGACCCGTTTTAACCACAAATTAATTGTAATATTTTCCATGTTATACATGGTTCGTGTTATACACAAATAGAGTATTCTGCGGTGTTAATTACGGTGTATAATACAGTTCGTGTATAATAAAATACTAATACCGTATTAATTACAAGTTCATTAATTTCGGTATTTATTTTATTTAGATACGGTATTAAATTACTGTTAATTAATTACAGTGTTTTTATTAATTATAGTATATATTATTAATATTCAATAAGGTATTAATTATTAATGTACACTATTTATTATTATGGTGTTTTTTATTAATATTGGTATTTAT